TGTGCTTTTCTTTCAGGGAAAATCGCATATTCCTCAGTTCCATTAAGAAGGTACCATATAGGAATTGAAAAATTTTGCTATGGATTTGAACTATGCCGTGCATTTAATAACGAGCATTAGTAAAAGGACAGATACGGCCCTACTTGTATGGGCATTTCACAGCCCTAAAAAGTCACATAACTGCAGTTTTTTAAAACGAAAAAAAGCTATAAAATTCAAGTAGTCATTTTTACCGACTGCAATTTTCGCAGGCGTCCGCAAAGAAGTGCACCCAAGGGCCAACATTCTAGTTTGTCTGAAGTATCTTAGGAATGTGCTGCACGATGACCAATATTACAAAACTACTTGAGTAATCCTTCCTAATTGAAAATGCTTTTCAGAATTTCAGTTTACATTTCTTTAGCTTGACCATTGACTGTATCTAACTCTAATCGGTAGTCAGCCCGTGTATGAGCACTCTGCTCCACTAGAAGGCGTAATTAACGGCCTTACTGTATGCGCCTCATGAGTTACGGCGGGTATCTTAGATCAGAAATTAGTAACCCCATACTCACCTGTAAATCATTGTCCGGAATTTTGGCTGGTAGTGCGAATTTATTAGATAGGGGTGGGGATTAGTCATTTTTTGTGCGATTTCCCCCCCCCCCCCAACCCCCTGTCTTTCATTCCTGTAACTCTTCGTTACGAACCTTCATCGTCCTGGTTTTAAAGATTGCTGGTCCGAACTACACCATACCGTAGCGAATCGTGCATGAGTCCCAGCCAGTTTTGTGAAGAATGAGTGTGGATGTCAATGTTAGAGGGACGCTCACCGATCGCGATATGGAACATACTCGTCCCGCTTCGTGACTTGGGACTCACTTTCGAGCCCCGCCAGCAGCTATACCACGGCTATTAGCACGTATAGGCAGAACAACAGTGCCAGCAAAGACAGTGGAGACTGGAATGACCACTTCTGGCTTATTAGCCGTAGTCAGCCAGCCGTACGCAGTCCCAGGTCTTGAAACCCCTGAGGCTCGATCCCGCGACCTGTTGGTTAGAAGCCCAACGGACCCGTTGTCCCGTCGGTCGCGACCGGGTTTATACAGTGGTAGAGATGCGCTCACCGACCGTGATAAGAGACACACTCGCCCGCTGACTGATGACGACTAATAAGCCCGAAATAGCCATTCCAGTCTCCCTCATCTTTGGAGTTCAGTCTGTCCTCCTCTGCGGGCTATTTTTGTGATATTGCATCACAACAGTCAGCAGGAGATGCGCTCCACAGACCTTCCGCTAGCGTGGCCATTTTATCGAGCTTGGATTGGCTTCAAAGCTTAAAAGATGTTAGGAACACCACTCGACCCAGGAACCAGAGTCTCCGAGGTTCGTTGTTGCCGCCTCACTTTCATGATCCTCAAAAGACGGCTGAGGCAGAGCCAGTTGAATTTCACCGTCTGAAGTTAGTAAATACTTCATGCCTTCGGTCTAAAAGCATCATTGCGTAGCGTGGTGGCTTCTTGCGATTTTAGTTTTTGCGGAAGGGATTCCACTGCGATTTCATACCGAAGCTTGTAATCAACCAAAGGTCCGATTGGATCGGTGGATTTGAGCCTAAGTTTTGCAGTGATTATGGGCTTTCTGGAGCTTATTCTTACGAGGTAACAGAGGTTTTCCAAAGTCATTCAGTCACTCTAAATGAAGATGATGATATTGTACAGCTGACCGTGGTTGTCACATGGCCACCGTCTCCCTTGTATTGACAGCCACTCGAAAGCATGCAGACCTTAGGCAATAGAAAATCATGAACTCTGATCTTGGCTACTTTTGTGCAGGCCTGTGTTAATCCGACGTTGAATGATTCCATGCCACTGTCGTAATTGACGTAACTGCCAAGAGTTCATGCTGGCATGTCTTTAACAGTATTTCCGAATAGAACCGGGGCGAGTGTGCAACCCGAATTTGCCCTACTCGCCACGGGCTGGGGTACAGGAATGCGATCGCGATCAACAACGCGAGCCCACATAAGCAAAAAATCTGGATAAATGAGCCTTTTTCGCTATGCTATTACTGACAAAGGCAAGGGAGACTGGGTCAGTCATACCCAACCCCGAAGTGTGGAAAACCCGAGGCTCGGACTCGCGACCTGTTAGTTAAAAGTTCACGCCTCTAACCACTGGGCCACGAGCCCGTTGCCTTGTCGGTTTTCGATCGGGAAGATACAATGGTAGGGGGCGCTCACCGATCGTTCTTACGGAAGTCACTCGTTCCATTGTGCCTTTGTCGGTAATAGCATTCTGCCTATATGATGCGTCGATGTGCGGCTAATGGTTGGGCTCGAGAGAGAGCCCGTAAGGCACAACGGAACGAATGAGTTCCGTAAGAACGATCGGTGAGCGCCCCCTACCACTTTTTCGCTATTTTCATATCTCGCCCCCCGTATTACGTCTTTTATAGGGGTTCTTGTCATAGTTCGCAAAAACAGACAGTCCTCTATGGTTGTCACAGTTCTATCAGCTGCCTTTTTGCCTGTAGAGCTCATGAATTATCATCCTGATAGTCGTAGTCGTTGTTGGACGAACAGTTTTTGAAGATCTAAACATGCAACAGTGCGGAAAAGTGTCCAGGCCATCCTGATACTACCCTAAACAGCATAGATTTACAGGAATGTGTGATCGTAAAGAAACTGGTCTTCAGCGCGGTTATGAAGATAGAAAAGGCGATCTGTACTAGAACTCTGGCTTCTTTGCCCTTACCCCATCCAGCCATACTTCAACCCAAGTTCATGTAGGCATGAGACTGAAACGAAGATCAGTTTGTCAGTCAGTAATGCAAGGACGTTAGGGTGTATTTTATTAGGAATGCTGGAGGTATTTGGTGCACATCACCACTCCAGTTTTACTTGGAGAAAAACAACTCGAAATCCAGTACTTAGGAGGTCTAGGTGTGATTAATGACTGCTACTAGGTGGTCCCCCCTCTGTCCAACTGCGTTCTCCACTGCCCGCGCCTCACCAGGGAGACTTGGACCAAAAGCACAATCGTGCGCGTTTTTTGCGTTTTTATCCAAGGGGAGGGCTGGAAAAGCA